TGGGCTCTTTTTAGTGAGTCTGATCATTTGGCTCAGCTCTACAATAAAAGAAGACTCTTTTGACTCTTTTGCTGTCTATTTTTTTTTTTTTTAAACAGATAAAGTTTGTGATATTTTCAACAGTGATTGTTCTTCTTTGCCTGTGTTTCAGGAAATCTGACTTTAAATTCCTATTAACAAAACAGTGTTACGTTAAAATTTTTTTAATTTTTAAATCAGCAGAATGAGCACTGACAACTACAGTAAGCACCCCTGCATTAATGATATTTTGCCAACAAGAGTTACATACTGTACTGATATCTTATTACAACGAGTGCATTAATATAAACTTGTGATATTATGTGCTGTTATAGAAAATTAATCAACACCTTCTGACCAATCAGAATTGAGAAGTCAACAGCACTATGGTGTAACTGATTTTAATGATTAAAAAAACAGTTAATGTTATAAATATGTTATTTACATGGCATTAAATATATTGTATGTACAGATTTTAAACACCAAAAGTCTTTAAACATACAAAAATATCATGTAATGCAATAATATGCATCATGAGAATCTTCTGTTTTTTTTTTTTGTTTGTTTTTTGTTTTACATAATTTAAATACGTTTAACACCACCAGCAGAACAGATCTTTATCTCCACTGCAGTGGTAGAAAAAACAGCCCACAAACATTTAGTCAAAAAAACCCCAAAAAGCAGTCAGGTAGTCATGGGCACTGTGTGTGAAATAAACAGGAAAATGCTAAACGTCATCTGTGTTTCCATAGTAACAACTCACTCAGGGACTTGTACGGTTGATGCTCCACATAATTTAAATCTAACAATAAATGAATTTTTAAAATTATTTTTTAGGCTATTTAACAAAGTAAAATCTTATGATGGAATTTTCTGGAATATTTTTAACATGAATTAATTTTTGCCATTAAAGACGGATATAAACAGATAATTCCAAGGTCTCAATTTGTATTTGTGTCTGTATTTATAGAAGATTAATATTGTAGTCTAATTGTAAAAGTGCATTGATTACATGTTAATGTTTTTTGAGGTATTAGGCTATATAAAGTGAGACTTCTTTTAGCAGCAGTGTTGTATATGTATATGGTGTTTTTTTTTTTTTTTTATTGGAGTCTGTTAATACTGAAAATACAGATTTAGTTTAAAAGAAAAAAGGAAATAGTTAAATGTCTGTACTAAACATGAGTACTGGAGTAAGCTATTTTAATTTGTAGCTGCAAGAAAAGAGCACAATAGTTCATATAAATTCAGTGTTAAATCCCAAATGTTAAACCTAAAATAAAATATTAGAAATATCAGCCGCTGTACCTGTTGTGTTGGTCTCTGTGGTCATAACTACATCAGCATTATTGTGAAACAAGGAAATCAACTTTTTGCAATAAAGCCACGTATCATATAAAGTCAGATAAACAAACATGAGCTAGGCAGCTTTTGAGGCTGTATGTTTGTTCCACTTAACAAGATGTCTAGATATTCAGCAAAATTCATAAGTGTCTAGTAGACGAAAACACTTCAAGGATACTGTGGCATTGGCAGAGATGGCATGCTGAGGTGCAGTTTCTGTTACTGTCTCCATTGATTTGTTTTGACAATAAGCTGTTTGAGCATTGCTGCCTCACAATTCCTGGTTAGATCCTGAGTTTGGGTTACTATTTATGTGGACTTTAGATGGCTATTGGCAATGGTCATTTATAGCAAAATGCTAGGACAAATGGTCACCACGTGACTTTGTGGTGAAGGTCTCAACATGTGGGTGCATGCATCACCCTCTTTATTTGGCATTAGAATGTTATGATGGAAAGTTAGCTAGCGAGTAACTAGCTAGGGAAATAACACACAGTCATGGGAAAAAGAAAGTACAGTTCTATTGTTTTTATTTATCAGGGCCTAAATAACATTTGGGTGGTCCTCACCAACTTCTATAAATAAACAAATGACCACAAATGACAACAAAAAAACACAACAGATTTCAATATGTTGTCATGTTTTCCTAAAAAGTAACATTCAGAAACCAGGTGGGGAAGAAAATCAGTACAGTACAGTACATGTTTAGTAACATGCAGAACCACCTTTAACAACAATAACTTGAAGTTTAAACATTTTCTGTAGGAGCTTATCAGTCTCTCACATTGTTTTTTTCTAACATTGCTTCTTTACAACATTGCTTCAGTTCATTGATGTTTGAGGGCATTAGTTTATGCACAGCTCTCTTAAGATCCTCCCACAGCATCTCAGTGGGGTTGAGGTCTGGATTTTGACTTGGCCATTCCTACACCTTGATACTACTTCATTTTTCTTTAGCCATTCAGATGTTGATTTGCTGGTGTGCTTGAGATCATTGTCCTTTTGTGTGACCAAATTTCGGCCCAGCTTAAGCTGCTGGACAGATGGCCCCACATTTGGCTCAAGAATATTCCGGTATAAAGCCGAGTTCATTGTTGTCCCAATGACTGCAAGTTTCCCAGGTTCTGTGGCTGCAAAACAAGCTCAAATCATTACCCCTCCACCACCATGCTTGATAGTTGGTACGAAGTGTTTGTGTTGATACGTTGTGGCACTGTGCATGATGATCAAACATCTCCGCCTTGGTCTCATCAGTCATGCTCCATAGTCACCAAGTCATGCTCCATATTCTTCTTGGAGAGGTGAGACTTTTTCCTAGCCATCCTTCCATGAAAGTCATACTAGTTCAGTCTTTTTCTGATTGTGCAGTCATAAACATAAACATTAAATGTGCTTACAGAGGCCTGTAGGTCATATGATGTGGCTCTTGGGTTTTTCTTTATATCTCTGAGCATTAAATGGTCTACTCTTGGACAGAATTTGCTGGGATGCCCAATCCTCTGAAGATTGGCAACTAGGTTGAAGGGTCTCTATTTGTAAACAATCCTTCTCACTACAGAATAATGATTTTCAAACTGTTTGGAAATAGCCTTATAACTCTTTCCAGATTGATAAGCAGCAACAATTGCTTCTCTGAGGTCATGGCTGATGTCCACGGCTGGTGCTCTAGAACACCAAATTACCAAAACGTCTGCTTTTATAGAGGTAGTCACACTTACTGATGATTGACTAATCTGGTTGCTAATTACTCTCTTAATGATTGTGTAAGTAGGAAGGGTGTACTTATTGTTTTCCCATCTGGTTTCTGAATGTTGGTTTACTTTTTAGGGCAAAAAAATGACTAGATATTGAAATCTGTTGTGTTTTATTTTTTCATGTACCCTGAGGTTATTTGTTTGTTTATAGAAGTTGGTGAGAACCACCCAATTGTTATTTAGGCCCTGAGTAAGTAAAAACAGAATTGAAGGGACGTGTACTTTCTTTTTCTCATGACTGTTGATGAACTTTACTGGCCAAATAAAATTTCTGCCCAGTGACTTTTAACTGTGTATAATGTATATATACATTTGGTACATTTGGTAATGTATTACCAAATAAAGCTCAGTGGAGCTGGTTTGATAGATGAAAGTGACTGTAGATTTTAAGTCTGCATGCAACATTATAAGTAAATACATAAATAAATTTAAATATTCAACAATTTAAGGTATAATTAAATAATTATAATCTCGCTGCGCCTTTATACACCATTAACATTCTTTGTAATATGTAATATAGGATAATGACTATAATATGATCTTGAGTGTCTTGATAGATAAGATAAATTCTCTTCCTCCTGGGATACCATCCATCCCAAACTTCCCATCATAGGTTTGAACCATCATTATATACGCTGACTTTGACCCATTAATATCAATATAATGTTAGTATATAGTTTCTTAGTTTCCTTGTTTTTAAAGTTCTTTAATCTCCAAGTTGTGTTCTTTAATCACCAGCTATTTTCTATTTTTTGACCCTAGACCCCTGCCATGATTATGGATTTGATTATAACAATCATGTCTGTATTAATCCCAGGCATAGATTTGGACCATGAATTTTAGAGCTACTTAAATAAAATATCTATTGACTTTCATTTTATTGCCTTGGATAATTACATGTTACAGTACAGGTTATTATCGTGTTATAAATCTCTGTATCAAAATTTGGTCAAGACCAATTTCCATTCCTTCATAAAACACTTTCTGGTTGAAATCCTGAATACATAATCTGCTTTTTCAGCTGCCTGGGCTAGTAATTTGTCCACATCTAAATAACATTTAGATCTACTTTTTGAATATATATACCATATATATTCAAAAATGTATACCTCTGCCATATTGCTTTATGAGACACTTTTTATGCTCCCAGTCACATGAAATACACTGAATATAATTAAATCTTTAATGATAATCATTCGGGAAAAGAATAAAAAAAATACATTATGCACAATATAACATAGTACTGTGACAAACATATAACAGAGTTATCTGCATAATCATGATTCTTTTCAGTTAAATCTTCTTGGATATCTAGATATCTTGGAAGTTTAATGCTGACTATCAAAAGTTGTAACATGAAGTGCAACTATAAAACAAAACGTAACCACTTCATATTGATGTCTGGTTCATAGCCTTGAACTAATCACTAAAGGTAGCTGTTGTCATCATTCAGTCATTTTGTCTGAAACTTTATATAACTGGACCTTCAATTTTTTATTTGAATACACCTTTCATGTTTGTAATTAAGGCAGGACACAAGTATCAGCAGCCAGAAGTTCAAAAGCAGTTCAAAAGCTGCCTGGAGTCAGAAATAATTTTCACTGAGTGACTAAGAGATCTAGGTTTGCTGACATCTTCATAACTGGTGACTTGATAATGTTGTTGTTTTGGCTGCTCCTGTAATGTTGTTGTTTTGGCTCCTCCTGTAATGTTATTGTTTTAGCTGCTCCTGTAATGTTGTTTTGGTTGCTCCCATGGCAGATCATTGGTCAGCATGTTTGATTTGGCACAGGTTTTATACCAGATGCCCTTCCTGTCACAACCCTCCTATTCTATCTGGGCTTGGGACCAGCACTAAGAGTACATTCCCAGTGGCTGAGTTGGTTCCCTACCCAGGAATCAAACCCGGGCTGCGGTGGGGCGAGCACAGGATCCTTAGCCATTAGACCACCAGGGACCAACTAGTGACTTGATAATGATGGTCAGAATTTTGTGAATGTTTCTACTACAGGTTTGTTACAAAACCAAAAGGTAATGCAAAAGTTTAAAACAGTCTAAAATCAGACTGTGTAAATGGTCACAATTCAATTTGCTGTTTCGACAATTTGCTGTTTCGACAAATTATAGTTTGTGACACACTAGAGGCTGTCCTTTGATGATGATCAAGTACTGGAGGTGAAGGTGGAGGTGAGGTGTACACACAGAGATGTACACACTTAACCACTTGTGCCACTCAAAATTCTATACTTGTCACATGTTGTCCGACAAGAACCTGGCAACACGATTAAAATATCAAATGCTACCCTGGGACCATGGTATAGGATTGGTACCAGGCATGCCACTACTGCAAAGTACTTTCTTTCCTCAATTACCTTTTAAAAATTAACATGGAAAAATAAATTTAATAAGGTCAGGGCTTGGATACATATATCCTATGCATTGATTATAGAGGCTTCAGCTACAGAACTGTCAAACACTGCGATTCATTTTCCTTTAGAACAGATAAGAGGGAAAGAAATATTCACAACTCTGTACCTGAGATATTTTCAACATCACATCAAAATGTGTGCTGATTTTGTTCGGACGTTGTGCACACAGCAGAGTTCAAACCAGATCAGTGCATCCCATAAACAAGACCCAGGTTCTATTTTAAAAAAAGGGTTCCTCTGGATGGTTTATAAACATAAATTTTTTAAAGAATTCTACTCGGTACTTCAAATGAAGAGGAAGCCATTTGTTTTGTGATTCTATGATTCCCAAAGGTACAAACTGAAAAGCCTTATAAGGTGGGCTGATGGAATTTCTTTTCTGAGAGTGTATTTCAAAATGATAACCATTTATGAAGTAATTTCACGAACACCAAAATCTGAAGTTTTTTTTTATTGCTCAAGTTATAGTAAATTGTCACAGTGTTGCTTTTATAAATCCATCAGTGACAAGAAAAACTTAGTGTAATAGTAGGTAAGGTAAGGCTGTGAGCATTTCATTAAAGCCTCCTGGCACACACAAAGGGATATTTCTTTTTACAGTTAATGTCATTCCAGTCCTTTGTTTCTGCAGACACAGAAAAATATAGATTAAAGACATCAAAAAGGACATAACAAACCTGAATTTAGAAAAGATTCTAAACACAATACAGCCACAAAATAAGTTTCTAGATCTGCTTACTGCCGTAGTTCATTTGCACACAGCACTCTCCAAGTAGACGATTTGGTTCTTTTGGGTTCCACTTGGTGAAAGTCAATTTGGTGCCATCAGACCAAAAAAACTTATTTTTCTGAAAGGATGAACAGTGGACAATCCATTACAGGCTGTAATATTTGATAAAAAATTTGAGAGATCCTTTATCTGTCTATGTTTAATTTGATAAATCTTGTTTGATACTTAGCAAACCTGCTGACAGCTAGAAAGGCCGATCCATGTTGGATTCTCCTTGTGGTCAAAAGTACGGATAAGGGACTTGGCCAGCCGGTAATCATTTTCACTGTGTATTGAGATCAAGTGTCCACCGAGATTCAGACAGTGTTTCTAGAAAAAGAAAAAGAGCTTTGGCATCATTGCACATTCTTTAACTGCAGTTATTATTGTGCGTAATTTTGCTTATTGTTTTAAGGCAAAAGCCTCTGTGACACTATATTCCGTTCATAAATAATTTTAATTATCTATTTACTTTAAGTGTAAAAGTGTGAGTGTCAAAGTACACAATTAAATTATTATAATGCTTGTTATTTAAGTGTATGATAATTTTAAAATCATAGAGCTTTTTTTCCCTGAACTGTCTATTTAGAGCACAGATCCAAATTGACATCATTTGAATTATTGCTTGTTTTTGAGTTATTTAGGTTTTTATTAAAACCATCGTTACACCAGCCCAGGACAATACCTCACCATGTGACACCCCGAGAATTTTGAATCACTAACACGTTGGTGTTTTCAATATCCTATTCACAGGATATATAAACGGCATGGACAATACACTCAGTATTGTGTATGACCTTGCTTTGCCTTTGTTGACTTCTCTGCCATGGATAGCCCTTTTGCTTTGCCTTCATCTGCCCTGGATCTCTGTTTTGCCTGGTCATATAGAATATAGGCAATGGGGCATGGTGATTTTTTTGCCCCATTGCCTGTATTCTGTATGACCTGGAACTGTTCTCTGTTTATGCCCATTGTCTATTGGATGCTGTTTATATTAAATCTCTTGCATGTGGATACACCCATGCAATTCAATGAAAATGGCTAATAAGGATAAGAATTGTAGCAAAACTTTTAAAAATCTCATGGATCCCTGGTGGTTCCTGAACCCCACTTTGAGAACCATGGTTCTAAAACCAATGTAACTACATTTGGAGTATAGTATAAACATTGTTTGCAGTCCTATTCAAAACCATATAATATACGTATAGCTGTAAGTGGCAACAAAATTTGATAACTCTTTCTGTATATTTTATGTGAATGTGCATGTGATTACATATTTGTAACATCTATCTATAGTTTGACTTTTTTTCTTTAAGACGAAATAGGCTGCCTTGCTTACTGATTCAGTGGGTTGAATATTTAGGATTAATTGGCCGAAACTCATGTACAATAAAAGATTTGAATCTTTCTGTTCTGTGCTGTTACTGATTGCTAATCTACAGCTTATTGCCAATCGCATATTATATCACATCTGTATAGTTAATATCCATTTCACCACTGCTGTGTTAATACGTAAGCATATAATCACACTGCACTCTTTTATAAAAACAACAAATGTGAATAAAGATGAAGTGAATTGAATTGTACCTCAGCAGAAGCCCAGATCAAGTTGGTGGCCTGATAGATGAAGCAGCGTCCGTCATATAGCACCCAGCCAGATGGACAACATTTGGAACATCTGTCATTTACTTCCCGGTGTATGGCTTCTGACTCATTGGTAAGAAAATAAAAACAAAAAAGTGAAAAACAAACAAACAAACAAATAAAAAACCTTCTAGAATAGTAGCTTATTTATATGGTACCTCTGAGATGACATAGTGGTTCATTTTTAATAAGGAATGGCCAGAAATTAATATAAGGCCAATAGTTAAGCTTCTAGAGATTTATATATTAGCTACAAAGTACTTAACTTATGACAACTATAGAATTTTAAAATGACTAAGATAGAGTAATCGGTTAAATTAAATTTTAACATTTTGACAAAAGGAACAATAATCATGAAAATTACTGATGATAATACACTTCACTTACCACATCAGCTTAGTGTGTATTCTCACATTCTTACAGACTTTTCCACCAAATAATTAACTGGAGGTCAATTCTTAAGGATGATGTTCTTACAACATATTATCACATGAGCTCAAGTTATACAGTTAGTGGCCATGATATTCTCATATAGCAGCAAACTGACCTCAGTATATTAACTTGTGGCATCAGTATATGAACTGTGGTCATGTCTTATTAAAAAAATGACTACCATGTCACCTCATTGGCTCTGGTATGTTTAAGTTCTGTAACAATCTAGATTTTAAAAAGTCAGTAAATACAGTACTAATGAAGGAATATTATGATCATGTTGTTCATCTGTGCAGTTTTCTTTTTTTACTAACCCTGTACGAGCTTATCAAAATAAGCATCTAGAAAACAGAAAAAGACAGAGAAATATTAGTACTGGTGGTTGCTAAGACTATTTTTGATCCTATTCAAGTGTGTAATTTTACTTAATTTTACCTGACTGAGTCACCACTGTAGCACCTTAAAGGGAGAAACAAATGGTAAAGATCAGCATACGTATTTTTTAGACATACAGAAGGCAGATTTTCATGGTCAAGAACATTAAGAGATCACGGCGATTTGGCTAAAATCACAAGATGTCACAAGCAAGTCATGTTTTTAATAACGGCTTTTCAAATGTGCAAAAACACTACAAAAGTGGAATAATCAAACTGCTACTGTATAATAAGTAAAATATTAAATAATTTCTGAAGTACCCATGCTCCTACAACTGTATTATTTTGAGTGCATTCTACTTAATAGAGCTAAGATTCTTACCCCAAGCTGTTGCTGCTGTGGCGAGAATAAGAAGTAACACCACTTCAGTCTGACGAGCCATAGTTCATGCACTGCAAGAAATTAAGAAGTTAAGGCATAATTCTTTAATACAATGCACACACACACAAACATCCACTTACATCTAATCAGGAGTCTCTTCTTGCTTGATGTAACACACTGAGGTAAGTTGTGATGCTTATATAGTGACAGTGATGGAAACCTCCCCTTTTCCAAAGAAAAATAACAGTCATTTGAACTTGCGTTAATGATTATCTCATATATAAAATGTTCCTTGAAGATGCAGGTCCAAGGACATAGTAATATTATGACAGATGGTATGTTGAGATGGAAATGTTTGGATATGTAAATGATTTAACACATTAAGTGTTACTGTCGCTGTATATTCAGACTGCATGAATTAAAGAGGAAAAGAATAACATGAAAAACTAAAACTATAGATACTTTTCTCATCATATTAGAATATTTTTTTAAAACCTGCTAAATTAAAAATCAGTAGTCAGTAGTTAATGCCATATCTGCTGAGTATATTCCCTGGGCTGGGAATTTAAAATTTATATTTAAAATATAAAATTTTAAAAACGATTTAAAAAGGGCCCCCAATAAAACACACACATACACAACTTGGGAAATGTAAAAGGCTGTAAAGCATAAATAAACTATAACTCATTCTAATTTCATATTCAATATTGCTTTAATAATTTAGCCATATGTCCCTCAAGTTAACCAGTTCTCCTTCCCTTTTTCTTTTTTTTTGTGCCTGACTTATGTGACATCTTAGCAAATTTGCAGGAGTTAATAGAAACTAATACTCAGAGACTCCCTATAGTATATGAGAACAATTAGCCACAAAGTTTCAGGAGTTGTGCAATGCAGCAGATCAACCCATTTAAAAAAAAAAAATATGTG